CCACACGCTGTAGGACAAATCACAGGACCTTATCAGCAGTGCCTGAGAGAGAGGATCTGGAATTCAAAGGAGGCCTGAGTCACATAGCTGAGATCTAAATTTTAGGACTACTAGGAGCTTGGTTTTCTGTTTTGCTGATCGTACAGAGAGGGAACATGTCTGGAATGAGGATAGACCCACCTATGTTTTGGCCCTGCCTCCCACAGAACACTCACAGCAGTATATCAGTACTGTCCTTTATATGATGGGTATTTTTGCTACACCTCATTTCATTCCCTTTGAATCATAAGGCATTGGCCCCTGATCCTAGTTCTGATACAGCACTCATCAGTGCAGCACAAATTCAGGTAAAATTTTCTGTGTTAAATGAAATGGTATTTTAATGTGATTGGCCAGAGCTCATGCTCTTTTCATTCCAGCCTGCAGGTGGTTCACAAAAGTGGAATCAACAAGGGGAAACAGAAGGACAGTGAAAAATTTGTACCCATGTTCCCAGCAATGTGGAATTGCCTGCTCACTTGGCAGAGGCTCCGTCCTTTGTGGAGGAGAAGCTAGTAAAGTTCTTTCGGCAGGACATTGCATTCCACCCCCACCTCCAACCTAACCATAACTCCCAGCTCGGGAGAATTTAAATCATTCTTTGTAAACACATGCTTGGACTGAACAATGGAAAGGTGCAGGGCCTGCCTAGGAGCCTGCCCCTGCCACTCAGCAAATTTGCATTAAAGCATTTAGAAAGCCTTGCACGAAAGACAATGTGCAAATGTAGAATGTTGTTTCATTCTGATCTTGCTGTCCTAGATGATTCTCTTGCCCCAGTAATTGCCAGACCATTTTGTGTTAAGCTTAAACTGAGAGGGAGCAAGAAAACCTTCTTAATTGTAATGAATGCTTTCTTTTTTCATTAGTTACTTTGTTTCCTATTAATAATGAATGCAGATGAAGCCCTGGGGAAAGCTTTCATCTGGGTTAGGACACTTTGCCCTCAGATTGCTTGTCCTTAGGGAAGAGTACCATTCTTCCAAGAGCAGACAATAAAGTGAAAAAAAACAATCCCAGACCTTGATTTTTAGCCCCCCTCAGCCTGTGGTGCTCAGAGAATTAGTGTCATAGCCATTAGCCATGGAAAAGAACTAATTGGGTCACTGACTCTGTCTCTCCAGGCAGCCAGGGCAGCATTGTTCACCAGTGCCCATTAACTAGTGCTTGCTTCACCCCAGCTTTATGACTTCCAGCCTATGATCTTCAAAAGCAATTCACCCCTACGCAGAAGACAAGATCTGGTCTGAAATGACACTTTGGCTTATATAAGCCTTGTGCAGGCAGCCTGCAGAAGAGTAAAAAAGGGGTCAGCCTTGGAGATTTTTAAGCCCCAAGTCTGGAAATTCCTTGAAATCACAGGTTAAGTTCAGCTTTTCATTCTCTAAAGAATTTTTTTTTTAAATGAGCTTGTTCTGTGCAGGACATGGGAATCTTTAACTGCTGTCTTAACAAAAAAATAAAGGTTCTGTGTGCACTTGTACTAATTTTTGAAAGCAGGGAGGGGGTCTGCCCTGATAGCTCTGGCCAACATCTCTTCTCCCTTCCCCTTTATAAGATGTGGACTCTGTAGCAGCTGTCTGTCCAACTGGCTGTAACCCACCACACCAAAGGTGGCTGCATGTCAGTGTTGTTATATGTCTCTAGCATGGAAAGCACTTAGGGATGATAGATGCTATGCAAACATGAAGTATCATGATTACTAGGACTCCTTTTTTCTTTCTAGAAGCCAGGCACGATCAGCACACAAAAACTAACAGCTCCACTGGGTTTACACATTACCCTAGTCTGTCTGCTCTGCAGAATTAGAGATGAAAGACATATGCAAACACAGTAGGGACCAAACCACCCCCTCTTCCAAATGCATCTGCTTCTGTTTATTATGCATGCTGCCAGCTCCGCTTCTCAAGTGCTGTCAGCTAATGCAGTCATATAGTATTGCCTGTGGAAAGTTCCCTTTACAAATCAAATTTCAACAGCAATGTCTTAAATAAAGCAATGAGCAGGAAAATTCAGTCAGTTCAGCATAAAATGTGGGAAATGAGATAGACCTAAAGTAGTTGGTAGACCGATGACAAGCCTTTTATGTCCCTCCCTGACATCAATTGAACACCATACCAGATTATTACCTTGATTGAACGTGTGTCTTATTGCCAAGGAATCTGTGTCTTTACCGTGTCCTGTCCTCTGATACTTCTTCAAAATGACAGTACAAAAGCCACTTGTTCTGAAGATATACCTTTATGTTTGTATGAGCTATAATTGTGTTCATAGATGCCTTTCATAACCCTGGGGCTTCCTTGACACCACAACAGTGTATAAAGTGTACACTATTCACTATCTACCTTCCCCTCTCTTTGGCATCTGTACTGTATGTATCTGAATCTGAGACTGACAAGCATCAATAATTAGGTGTTCCAGACACTGACTAGGTTACACCATGAATTTAAGTTGTTTTCCATCACTGCTTAAGAAATTAAGAAAAAAGAAAAATCTAGTACACAGTATAACAAACAGAGATACACATGATATACAATACTTTAATGACATAAATATAGGTTGGAACTCTATCTTTGTAATTAATATGGCCAAATTTTAATCAAAAACTTCTTAACAGATCACATCTCCTGGCAATTGGATCTTTTTAATTAGGAAAAAAACCAAACCTAGCAAACATATGGAATATGGGAACTAAAGACATTTTGCATATTTGGTGACAGAATGCTGTGTTCATTCTACAGGCAGTATTAAGCCAGAATGCTTGCTAAGAGATGCCTTAAGTGCTTCACATGCAGAAAGCCCATAATGCTAAAAAATATTGATGACCAACATGAATTTACCCTGGAGAATTCAGGTGGAAATAATGTTACAAGAGCTGGGTAAATAACAAGGTATTTGTCGAGTTCTTTATTAAAATATTGCAAAATCAGCTGAAGGAATAAATATTTTCTCAGCCTGATCCTATGAACTTATTGGCATCATGAGCATAATTTGACCTTATGGGGAGCTTGGGGTTCTTTGGAACATGTATAATGGAGCATTAAAGGGAAAGCTACAGATATGTATTAATACTTTATCTAGGCTTTGGATAAAGCCTCTCCCAAGAGATAATTATGGAAAGTCGGTCAGTTTTAGGATGATGACATAACAAGGTTTAAATCAGTTAAAAGATAGAAAAAAAATTGTGTTAAACAAGTAGGAAGAGGGTAATAATGAAATGCTCAATACATTGACAAAATGGAAACGTGGGTGAAAGATGACATACAGGATAACATTTTAGAGTGAGGTTTTTCAAGGCTGCCTGGAGGTAGAGAGATCCATTTATCATTTAAATGGTAAACTATGCAAATCTCAGCCTTGTTACACAAGAGTTTGCTGGAAAAATCGGAGGGCAATTAGTCTGGATAGCCAAGGCTAGTGAGAAAGTGGAGACACACCTAACAGAAACGGGGAACTGGGAAAACATTAGCAGGTGAAATTCTTAATAAATAAATGCAAACAGCTAATGAAAGGCACATGTCACACTACTTATCAGGCACATTGAAGGATTCAGAAATGGTCATAATACCTCAAGTAAGAGTTCAAACTCAATAATCTGCTCAATAGCTGGTGGAAGCACAAAGGAATAAAACAAAACAAACAATTCTAGTGCCAGCAGACATATGTCCCTCCCCACCACCTCACCACACACACATGCTATATGATCTTTTGTTATCTTTTAGCAGAACAAACTGCAGTAGAAATATGACAAGATAAGAACTATTTTCTTTGGAAAGGATAAGAGTAAGTGGCTATTACTGAGATGCTGAATACCTAATAATGAATGGAACAAAGACAGCCAGCTAGGACTCCTACTACACTGTTCAATACTACAGATAATAGTGCACTCTATGTGATTGAAAGGCAAATAAATAAAAATTGTGTCATCCAGTGTAGCATGTCCATATGGAACCAGCTGCTTTAGAAGATTACTAAGAGAAGTGACATAATAAGAATGAAAAAGACTTAAGGTAACATATAAAAAACAATGGCACCTAAGGTAACAACAACCAGAATAAAACTTTCAGTGATTGCTGGCCTTATAGTTCAAGCTAAGGACAAAATTAACTAGGGAAACCAATTGAAAATGAGACAGCAGACCACTGTAAGCTGTATTTTGAGGTTTTATATTTACACTTTCCACTAATCCATCTGGCATTAGCTATGGGTACTTATAGGACACAGGAGTAAATTGATTGTTGGCCTGTTCCATCCTGGCAATTTCTGTGCATCGAATGTGGTCGAATCCTCCTAGTAATTAGCTAAGATCACACAGGGTGTCTGACATTAGTATCACTTTGCACCTGCTGCTTGAGTACATGCACAAGAAACAGAAAACACAGTTCACAAAAGGATGAGATAGTAAATTCTGCATTTAAGGGTCTTGCTAGATTTTCATTATAAGCTTCATTCTGACACATGGTCCTAACTTTTCCCCAAGCTTAATCTGTTTCCCATCCAAAGAAGGATTATTTCCATAATAAACCAGATCCTTATACAGAAGGCCTTCCACTCCACTGCAGCAACTATAGGAGCCTGTGTGTGCAGCTGAACATGGGTAGCTATAATGAAAAATTTTGGTAGTATTACTCTATGCCTATTATTCCCATTGCTGTCTTCTTAGGGCATCTTAGTAGCATCCAGGTTTCTGTTCTAGCCACCTGATTTACCTTATGACCTAATCTGACATCTCAAGAGGGATTTCAAATCTTCTTAGTTTTTCTGCCACTAGCAGCTTTCATGCTGGCAAAATGACAGCTGTCTAAATCCCTCCTCCTCCCATTGAAATATTGTTACATCCTGAATTCTACAAAACAAATAGGATGTCTTAAATCACATGCCAGGCAGTCTAGCTCAGAAGTTGCATTCCCACCCTCTGCACTTAAAGAAAAGTGGCAGAAAAAATAGAGAGACTGGTTTACCTGCTGGACTGGCTGAAGCACGCTGGGCTTAGCATTTTCCAGGTTCTCATCTTGGTCCTTTCCTGAGAGTCCTTTCCTAGGTTGCCTGCTTTTGCAAAAGCAGGTGAGACCACAAAGGGCAAGGATGCTAGTAGCAGTCCCCAGAGTGGCTCCCAGAGCTATTACTGGAGCAGACAAAACCATTGTCCTGGGCTACACAAAAATAACACAAGAATCAGGCAATTCTGCTGCTTCTCAAGTGTGGTATATCACAGTTGTTCGCTTTCAGTGTTTAGCTTGGTTTCATTCTCTTCTGAAGAACAAAAAAGATTTCCTGTAGCAGCAGGGAAAAGAAGTGACTAAAGGACAGAAATAGATTATTCCAGCTTTGCTAGGCAATGAGACAGCCTCTCTCACCTGCAGATGATTCTGGCTTATGCTCCAGATCAGGTAGAGGAAAGCAGAGGAAACAGTGTTTATAGTGTCTGTAATCCCTCTAAGGCAGCAAACAGGCAGTTTTCAACAAAGCTTGATCTCCAGCTCCACTGGGGAAAGTCTGATGTGTGAGAGAGAGGAAAGACGTCAGCAGAAGGGGATGGGCCCTGCTGGCTAACTCATAGAAAGTGGATCCAAATGTTGGTTCAGCCCCGGGTAGGCTTTTGGAGAGCTGAGGGCTGTGTGTGTTGCAGTGAGGGGAAGGATTTTTTTTCCCCCTAATCTTATAGTGAATATAGTGGTTGATGAAAGATGCCAGCCTGGCAGTACACTGGACATTTCTAGAATAAGACTAAAGTTTGTGTGGGCAGGTAGTCCAAAGCTAGGCAAAGATCTCCCCAGGAACCAAGGACCGTCTCAGATCTCACGGCCTTCCACTTCAAGTGTGAAGCACATTTCTATGACTTCTTTTCTTGATACTTAAACACAGGATAATAGGTTTACTAAAAAAGGGCAGAAAGGAAGGAAAAAAGAAAAATCCCCATGTTGCACTGCACGTGATTCTCCTCCCTGGAGAGGATGAGAGAACAAACCACATATGGCAGATGTAAGTCACAGAGCTTAATGCGGTATTGGAAGGCACTCAGATGCAACAGAATAGCTGAGAGACAGAAGCAGGTTACATTTGCCTTCACTGCCCTGCCAGAGTCCTTGACCTCTGCCTTAGAGGAGTCATCCCCCTGAGTGACAGGGTAGTTAACTATCTGTGACCCATTTCATCTCTACCCTGTCTGATGAGGCTGTAGTAAAGGAGGGCATACACTCTATCAGAGCATTCTTTGAGATGAGGACGTTTGTCTCCCAGGTACTGTCCCAAAATGAATCAAGTCACTTCACATAGACTACCAAGCAGCCAACAAGTGGGTATACATCTGAGTCATTATAAATCAGATTGGAACTAATGGGCAAGCAGTAAAATGTTATGTGTCCCTTTATAAATCCCCTGAAATATACTGTTTTGTTGGGATATTCTTTGTCCTTTAACAGAAACATACAATGGACTCCTGCTGTTCAGATGCACAATAGTGTTTAGAAATTCAAACTTTAATACCGCAATTCAGTCTGGGTTTAATCACAGCTTTTTTCACTTTCCTCAGGAATTTCATCTAAAAAATCAAGCTTCTAGCCTTTCCTTCAAAGAGGGACCTCTGCTTCTGCTCTCCATTTGTTCTCCATCAACACTGTTGCACAGTGCCCTCACTTCAATGCCCTCACTTCCCTGCTTCTCTCACATCCTGCTCCTTCTTCCTTTGTAGCATCCCTATGGATGGTGCTGGTACTTGTTCAGGTCCATTCTTCTTACCTACTGTATCCTCCACCTCTTCTCTGGTTTTTCTGACACCCATTTTCTCTCCTTCATTTTGCCACCAAGTAGGGACCCTAGGTAGAGCCCATGAGTTGAGCTCATGAGTAGAGGACAGAATGGCTCCCATTTGTTCTCTCGTCCTAAATTTAGATTTAAGCTATCTGGATAGGGCCCATTGTTTTTGTTTTGACCTTGTACAGCACCTAACACAAGGGAGTCTGGGCCGTGACTGAGTCATAACAACAACTGGAACAACAACTGCTTGAAGAACATTGGGAAAACACCTCCAATGGCCAACATTAGGACCCATTACATGTAGACAATGCAACCTAGTTCTCTGTAGTTTTCTGCCTTGATAATAAATCTCCCTCTGGAATGGAGGGGAATAGCAATGGATGAGAGCATATACTCACTACCTCTATTATTGATTTGAATTGTTTTTCCTGCATCCTGAGGGTAGTGGACTGTAGCTTGGAAGCTTTCATTTGGCACAGAAGGATTCACAGTTGACCTTTCTGGTTTTGCTGTCAATCTTATTTTAAGGACTTACACTCAGACAAACTGATTTGTGTGTTCTCTGTCCCAAGTGTCTGTGGTGACCATTTGCAGATGTATTCAACATAAGCAATGCTACTTCATTGGTCATACCGCTACTCCTTTACCCCTCATTTTGAATAGGCTGCACTATTATAATGGCTTCTTGAGGTTTTTGTTTTAACCTGCTATTTTCACTTCTACATTAAAAATACATGAAGTTTCATGGGATTCTGCCTCTGCCTAATGCAGATAGAAAAGCATGGACAGAAGGTAAACATCATAAACTTGGATTTTCTTCTTCCCCTTCCTGTGGTTCTATATAAAACCCAAGTGATCAAAGACTCGTCACATTAGGAACTGTCCTTACTGTTCTTCAAGTCCACAAGAGAAGTAGTAATGTGAGATACCATTCAGAGCAGAACAGAGAGACAAAGAATTAAGAATGGAGACAGAGTTTTGATTTTTAATCAACTGTGGTTTCTTTATACTTCTCACACAAGCACCCCTGAGAAGCATACAAGACTATAGAAGCCAAGGATAAAGTAAGGGTGAACAAACACCAACCATCAAAGTTGAGTACACTTAAATGCTATTCTTCCCCAGGATGCTTTTTAGAGGTTCACAAAGAGGCAGGAAGATTTTCTTGCATATCCTGTATAGATTACAAAATGTACAAAAAGATAATGTTTTTAATAACAAATGCCAGTTGGCAGCCTTTTCCTAGGGGGGGAAAAATCTTGCATGATAATGGAACACCATCAGTACATAAACCTTTAGAAGAGACTGTGAACAAACATTTCAAAACTGAACATGTGCAGTGATGCACACAAACAGTACAACCCTTTTGCTTGTACATAATATGCACATATTTTTACACAGGCTGTCATAAAAGCTGTGCCATAAACCTATTCAAACTCAATTTCATATTGAAAAGAAATTATACTGTGTAAACAACAACCACCTGTTTTAATACAAAATTGTAATACAATTGTTATGTTGTTTAATTGATAGTAAAATGGGGTAGCAACTGGTTTATGATCCCTGCCCATTACTCAGATTCAGAATCACATTGTTTTTCATTAAGTTATCTAGTTCTGGAAAGAGATTTCCCAAGGTCAGCTTAAATTACAAATGTCTCCTAGCTGGACTTCCCAAGTAACTTCAGGTTATAAACCATGTTTCCCACCTGCCCTGCTGATATACCTTTTTTCATACAGACAATTGATTTCTGGCTTTCTCTGGTCCTCTATTGATCTGGACAGTGATTTCTGATGAGTTTCTATTGTCACAGTTTGCCCTGTGTACACTTGCTGCTACCACTGAAGACAGGGCCAAAGTTAGCACAGACCTGGGGCAACGGCATGCATTGTTTATAGAAGTATCATAGAGAAGGAAGGCTGCATAGGACCTCAAGAGATCATTTAGTCCAACTGGGGATTTAACCTGGGACTGTGGTGTCATTATCATTGCACTCTAACCAACTGGGCTAACTACCTCTCTAAGAAAAGTGGATACTGTTTCCCATAAAAATCAGATCAAGGTTGCAAATTTCATTGAACAGGATTTCTACCATCACATGGAATAGCAGCTTGCCTGCTCTGTGCAGCGGGAAGTGAATGGGTTCATCAAACATGGAACTGTGCTATGTGATTGATCGTTTAGTTGCTGCCATTATAATGCTAACCCACTCCATTTTCTGTGTCTGAAGACAATGCACAGGGTCAGCTGAGAGACCAGGTGCCCATGAACAACAATATTTCAATCCCAGTCATGAATCCACACATAATGGCACATTAATATAAGCCTGAGGATATCCCTGCACTAAAAATTGGATTAATGGAGATGAGCTTGACAGCCCTAAATCAAAAGCAATGCAAAATATGAGCTGTTGGAATTAAGCTGTCAGGAAGAGTCATGTAAAAGCAAAATGCATTTGGAAGGTCATAAGGTGCTATCAACAGATGTTTCAGTGGCCAAGGCACTCTCCTGGGTGGTGAGACATGTGGCTTTGAACACCTCTCCTCAGGCTGAGAAGGCACCTAACCTCCAGGAAAGATGCAGGATTGCAGACAATTGGCTAGCTGCCAATTGGCTAGCTTAGGCATTTTCCTGCTTAGTTTACTGCATACTGTAAATCCCATCTTTACAAACCAAGCTATCCCATAGGGGACAATCCCCTGCCTAGGAGATTTAAGCACTTAATTTGAATTTGTGAATTCCTCTCCTGGGGCAAGCATTTAAGTCCCTATGTAGATCTGGGCCATAGTGCCTTTGAATCATTACTCACACAAAATTTCAAATTCAAATACATCTTCCCCTTGCTCCTAATTACTTCCAGAAGGCTATTTCTTCATGAGGTATTCCTAGAAAATTGTGTTGGCTATACTCATAATAATGACGGGGTGTAGCCAATTATGTTATTCAAGACTTTACAGAGCTCCAGGAGAGTGCTAGTGAATCGACTAAAAAAGGACTTTGTTACAAGGACCTGCTTCCCCACAATACATCACATTAATGTGTTGACTTTTTGCTCTTCGCTATGTAAACGGTGGAAGACAGCTGACAATTCTTTTTTATGTTATGGGATTCTGGGGTTGTGTGTGACTGGATTATTATTGTTGCAAACTGCTTAAAGGACAAAACTAAGGCTCTTAGTGCAGTGCCAGTACGAAAGTATCTAAGGAGTACTTGTATTGACAGTCTATGGGTAATGAATACTTACCTACACATTTTTGGCTGTATTCATAGATTCAAGCCATTGACTCTACAGGAAATAGTCCAGTAAATGATACAGACAATGATGGACAATCAAGTGTCTTGGTGTTTTTTGTGTGGGAGTCCGAACCCCACTCTTCCTGGGCTTAGAAAGGGGTGGGAAGGGTTACAGGTTAGCCCAAGCTGACTAATAGCATCATGGATTCTACAAAATCATTCAGCAAGGCAACACTTACACATATGCTTACTAACAGGATGGACCCCCTTCCAGTTTAGAAACTCTGTAAGCAATACAACAGACTGAAGCTCTCCTCACTCACCAAGAGGTACTTTGTAAGGCTTCTCAGGTGTCTCTCTCCCCACCATGTAGATGTATACAAAATAAGGCTGAGACAGAGAAGTTCTTCTAAGGTACTCTAGACCCCTTCCCCCCTCTTTGCTATAATCCTAGAGTAGCCGAGCTACTCGCACAGGATTAATTTACAGGGCTATATCCTTACAAGGAGATCTCCC